GGCAGGGGTGTCGGGTTGTCAGCCCCTTGGGCCCGGCTGGTGTCAGTGACGGGCTGCTGTGGGGCGTGGGAGCGAGGCCGTGTGAGAGAGCTCGCTGGGGAGGGGTCGGAGGCACGTCCTTATTTATTTGTATCTCTCTTTGCAGCAAGAAAAAGCACAAGGAGAAGAAGCGGAAAAGGGAAGAGGATGCAGCAGAGCAACTTGATATTGTTGGTGAGCTGCTTGCCAGGAATTACGTGACAGTGTGGAAACTGTAGAGGACAGCAGAAGCTGAAGAAGTTGTTAGAGGACTTTGTAGTCCCTATAGGGTTTTATAACTATTTCTCACAATATATTATGTTTGGATCTGCCTGGACTCCAAATGGAACTTCTGATACCGATGCGATAGTTTTTCAAATTCTCTTTTTAGTTTAAGCATGTTCTTATATAATCTCAAGCTATTTATCAGCTTGGATCTCTCTTTTTTTTTTTTTTTTTTTTTTTTTTTTTTCTCCCTCTCTCCTCCCCCCAGGTGGTATTTGCTTCAGGAGGAGAAACTTTTTTATCACTGTAATGCTGTTATTTGTTGAGCGCATTTCTATGTAAATAACTTATGTCTTCTGTTATTCCTAATTTGAAATTTAGTGGTTAGGTCACCTGTGTTTCTGTTCTTATTCTGCTGATAGTTACTTTCTGACCGGGTTCTTTGGTTTACTCAAGCCTTTGATCCTTTCCAAAGGAAAAGAGTCCTAGTTAGTTTGTTTTTAATTTGACATACTTACTTGGCTGCTGTGATGTGTTCACATAAATTTGCTACTTTGAATTGAAACTGAAGACATAAACCTTGAGCAGTAACAAAATATAACTTTTTCCTTTTTTCATAAAATAGAAGTATCACAGCATGTATGGTCACGAGCAGTAACTTGACAGACTGTTGCCCTTCAGTGCTGTCATGCCCTCAGTGAATCACAGTTCACAAACAAAAACAGGTGAAAAATAGCCACGAAGTCATGAGAGACGCAGGTGTATATTGTATCACAGCACACATTACCAGATTAATGTCATTTTCTGTTATGTGTATATAGGCATAAGCTAAAGCAATGCAAGGAGAAGTCATCCTTGTTCCTGTGTTAAAACAAATTATGATATATGAGAAAATGGACTGTTGTGTCTTACAATAGAAGAATGTTACAGATGTTTTACATTCTTTAGTATAGCTCGATTTAAAGAATTGGGAGAGATTTGGAAAATTCATAATGTGAATCTGTGAGCCTTGGGTGTATAGGACAAGACAGTTAGCTCCATATGTTGTGTAAAGAGAGGAAGATTCTTTCTGCTCAAGGCAGATTGGCTTGCCAGATCAACCAGGTGGAAAAAAAGACATCATATTCAGACTAAATAAAAATAGTTATTATCTTAATCAGGTAGAAAATATTTGTAAGACGGTATGCCAGAACAAAATCTTACTGTTTAAAATATATAAATGTTGTAATTCCAATTAATGTGTGTGGGTAGAGCTACGTTTAACTTTGGTAGAATTCTGTGGTGCTCAAATGTTCAAACACAGATTGGCTTGAACAACTGAAGTCTAAGGATTACAGCTCACATGAAGTAATTTTACAGCAAGATGCAAGAGTTTATCTGTTTCTGTTGTGTTGAAGAATCTAATAATTGCATATGAACCCAAAACTGCAGGGGGCTGGTCCAGAAGAGAGAGAGAGAGGAAAAAGAAAATACAAACGCCTTCCTTGCAAGGTGTATCTTTGCTGCATCAACTGAATGGATCAACTTGTTCTACAAACTAACACAAAGAAGGGGTGAAGCATGGGAGTCTGTAACTAGGGATAGTAGGGTGGGTAGAACAGCAGAATTTTCTGATTCAGCAGCAACACCATTAAATTGGCTCTATACTATAAAATAATGCACAAAGATCTTGAGATAGCAATTGTATCTTTAAAATTTCAAATCTCAGGGAAGACACAGGTATCATCTCTTGAACTACTGTAATCAGAAGTTGTAATTAATCTATTAACTGTTATGGTTTTGTATTTTAGGAAACTGGTGGGCTGTCAGTAATTTTGGTGAAATTACAGGAACTATAGCTATAGAAATGGATAAAGGAGCTTACATCCATGCCCTCGACAATGGCTTGTTTACGCTTGGAGCACCACATAAAGGTTTGTTTCAGGAAATTTGGAAATAAGCAGTTTTAGCAATAAAAGGCATAAAAGCATACAAGTAGCGTCACTTAAAGGCAAGCAGTTTTACAGCTAAAAGCAGTTTATTACAAATAATGCAATAATCCTAGCCATAGCATGCAGATGACTTAAACCTAATGACTACCAATCAGTTTCACTTATCTAGTTTCTCGCTGTTTTATGTGTACAATAAATTAAAGTGCCTTGGAGATGATCACCTGTTACCATACCACTTACTGGATAAAAAGCAGTATAATGTTTATTAAATCCTATAAAATCTTTATGGTGTCAGTTGAAGAGTGAAACTCAAGGCAAATGAGTTTCAAGGCTTATTGCTGCATCCTCATCTTAATACGGTTGCTGTACGAGGGGGGCTAATAATGTGGCAGGATAATAGCTAGTCCTTGCTTTGAATTTGAGAGCCATCAGTCAGTCAAGGACTGTTCCAGAACCCTGACAGTGTGTCTCATCTCCAGAGTGAGGTCAAAGTAGTGATGGCATATTATCTCATTTTGGTTTTGAGGAATGGAAAGGCTAGTAGATTTTAGGATACTGAGTTGTGTTACCAAAGCTCAACTGTAGTATATTTTCTTATGGAAAAAAATAACATTACAAGGAGAATAAGGTTTTCAAAGCCACCTGAAGAATTACATAACATTTTCAACTGTAAATTTCTTCATACAATGATTTTTTTTAATTTTGCATCTTATTTTAAGCATTCTAAATATATGAACATAAATTTTTTCTATAAGCACCTGCATTGTTTTAGATTTTTTTAAGAATGAATATTCAAAAAGGAATTTTTAAAGAAATAAAGTACTGCAGCTTTCCATATTATTTATCAGTAGGCATTGTTTAATTCTTCAGCTTGTTTGACACTGCAGTATTAACAAGTTAAAAATTTGTGTTTAATACTTCATACCTAACTAATGGAAAATTCATTCCTCAGGTGATGAAGGCCCCAGTCCCCCTGAACAGTTTACAGCCGTAAAGTTGTCTGATACAAGGTAATTGCTATAACAATGTTACAAGTTTTGATACTTGTTATCTTTGTTTCTGGTGTGAGTACTTGTTTTAATATTCTCTTGAAATACATTGTCTACATAATAATGTGTTTGTGATGTGTTGGATATTGTGAATTGCTTGAATTAAAAACATTCTTTATTGTTTTCTGCGTTTTCTCTTTGAGGATTGCTCTGAAGTCTGGTTATGGCAAATACCTTGGTATCAATTCAGATGGACTTGTTGTTGGACGTTCAGATGCAATAGGATCAAGAGAGCAATGGGAACCTGTCTTCCAAGATGTAAGCTCTTTGGAATAGTTCATTTGATGTTCCTAGCATTTGACTGTATTTTGAGTTAATCTATATTGATATTCTTTGTCTCCGCCGTAAAAGCAGTTTGCAATCTTGTCCCTATCATAACTTTTAATCTTCTGTTGCCCAACTGCAATGCATTTGCTGTAATTGGAAGTTCTTAACATATTTCAAGTTACTGCATTTTGGCAGCTATAAGTATTTTAAGAATGAAGGAGCCAACAGTTCTGCTGGCTAGTTATTGAAGTGTCCATGTATAAAAGAATAAAATGCATTTACAGAGTTTTTCGGATGTATTGTAGAGGATAAAAGTTATAAATCAAGAAATATATACAAATCTTTATACTAATAATATGTGATATTATTTCTGCAGAGGAAAATGGCATTACTAGCAGCAAATAGCCGTTTTATTAGATGTAATGAAGAGGGTGACATAGAAGCCAAAAGCAAAACTGCAGGGGAAGAAGAAATGATAAAGGTAATCTATAACTTCTACAATTAATATAGGATTGTCACGGATATTCAAACAACCAGGTGTCTGTGTACTACAATTTACTGTTAATACAGTTATAATTATTTTCTATAAGCCATCAAGTGATTTGGCCACAAGAAAGGTAAATGACCTCCAGGGCTGCATAAACAGAGATACTTCCAGTAGAAATAGGAAGATATTTTACCACTACGGAAGGACAAGACCTTGCGGGGCAAGACAGCCTATGTGATATTCCAGATAGTTTTGAACAGGTTGGTACAGGAGAGATGAATTATGCCTGAAGCAGGGACAGGGAAGGGTTTACCAGATTATGCAGAAGGGAATATCTTTTTAAGTGGGCAAATGTAAAAAGACTATCTTGACTTCATCTGGGTGTGGACAATATGTGTGCCTCCAAGTAGAGATAGGTGTCTGCCAGTCAGAGCAATGATATTTTTAAATCAGTCTCTGAAAAAGGCATTGTATCCCTGCTAAAACTAAGAAATGTAATGGTGCTTCTTTGAGATGAAGGTGGTTATGTCTTCCATTAGTATCAAGGATTGCACTTAATATTTCCCATACTTCAGGCAGCTCTTGGTTTTGTTGCAGTTATTTCCAGTTACAAGTTAACCAATTTGAAAACTGAACTGAAGTCACTGTGACTGTCATTCTGTTATGAAGGATATGTTGTTGTCTTTAACCTGTAACTTCTGGTTTTAAAAGTATAGGTGTTTTCTATTTGGGTTTTTTTTGTTGTGTTTTTTTTTTTTTCTCTCAATGGCTAGATTCGTACTTGTGCTGAAAGGGAAGCTAAGAAGAAAGATGATGTTCCACAAGAAGACAAAGGAAATGTTAAACAGTGTGAAATCAATTATGTGTACGTAGTTTAGAGCTTTTAACAGGTTCAAGTACCTTTTTGTTTTCTTTGTTTCTCTTTGGGGCTGCCCTTAGCAGAAGTATCAAACTCTCATACAGCCTTTCACTCACTTTCCTGTCAGCAGGGCAAGGGAAGAAAATAGGATGAGAAAGCTCCTGGGTTCAAATAAAGACAGGGAGATTGCATACCAGTTACCATCATGGGCAAAAGAGGCTCAACTTGTGGAAAATTAATTAAATTTATTACCCGTTAAAGCAGATTTGGGTAATGAGAAGCAAAGACAAAAATTAAAACAAGCACCTCTCCTTCCCCCATCTCCCAACCTCAGCTTCACTCCAGACTCCTTTACCTGTTCTCCGAAGCAGGATGGGGGTTCGGATCAATACACAGTGGTTTCTCTCTGCCACTCTTTTCCTTTCCCACTTTTTCCCCTGCTCTGGCATGGTCCTGTGAAAATTCACTCCAGCACCTGAAGCACCTCCTCCCTCTCCTTCTCTGTGCTTGATGTTCACACTGCCATTTTACGCTTTTTTTTTTTTTCCCTTCTCCTCTGCCTGTGTGGCATTTTGCCCTTTCTTAAATATGTTTTCACAGAGGTGCCACCAGCTTCGCTGCTGGGCTCAGTCGGCTTTGTCCTGGGGTGGGTCCAGCGTGGGGCAGCCCCTGGACTCTTCTCACAGAGCCCACCCCTGCAGCTGCCCCACTACCAGTGCATGGCTACCTACACCCAGTACACAAGTACAAGTCCTGGACTTGTCATGCTAGTAGCTGAAGAAGGGGCTCTTTAGAACTTGTCACCACATCATGTTGATCATGTAGGGGCTCATTTCTACTTAGACTGCCAAAAAAAACCTGAATAATTTTCACCTATAGAAGTCTTAATGCAATATTTGATACTGTCATGGCTTGCTGGATTTTATTAGGCCAGTTGTCTACTGCGTAATAGAAGTTAAGATTCTTATCATAACTGTTGTTCTACTGAAACACAAAACTTCAAAGAAGTTAGTTTTTACTTTTTTTTTTTTTTTTCCTCCTCTTACAGAAAGAAGTTCCAAAGTTTTCAAGACAAAAAGCTTAAAATAAGCAAAGAAGATACAAAGGCCCTCAGAAAAGCCAGGAAAGAAGGCACTTTTCATGAAATGCTGCTTGACAGGTACTTCAAAGTACAAGAAATAATGTCCTGATTTAAAAACTACTGGAATTACAGTAAACCGGGGGTAGAAGAGACAGCTAGATTTCAGGGCAGTAAGGTGTTGAGCATTTCCTCCCTGGTCAGTGTTCTGCCTGAGTTCTGGGGTTGGCTTTTTTGTTGTTGTTCTGAATTTTCACTTCAGAACAAGCCCAAGTTTGCAGGCTTGGATGTACCCAGAAATGAATTCTTTTGGAAATCTTTAACTAGGTTGTTCAGTTCACTTAGTACAGAGGAGTTGAGGGATGAATCTTTTTAATCACAAAAATTAAGCTAATTTTTAATGTTTTTAATACCTGTGGCACCAGAACATTTTGCAGAGGGGAAAACTGCATTTTAAAGAGAAATAGCATTTATTAGTAACAGTCTTCATGTTATCCAATGGGAATATTTTTTTTTTTCCTGAGCTGAGACTATAGAAACTGTCTCGAATTTTTAAAACACTTTGTATCAGTATGCAGTATAAATATTTGCATTAATTCAGTGGGTGGAATGCAGAAGACTATTTTTGATAGCTGCCAGTGACGTGGAGTGGACGAAACACAATTCATTATGATTTAAAGGGAAAGACAGGGTTAACTTTAGATGTTGCTGTTGCTGTTCTAGCTCCTTAGGAAAACAAAGTTAACTAACAAATCCAAAGTGGTGTTAGGCTTTATGTGTTTTGAAGTAAAGTTTAAGAAAAATTGCTTTCAGTGCTTCTTTAACACTTTGAGACAGATGAAGCACCCAGATGTAATCATATTTGGTCTTAATCTAAATCTTGTTTTTTCCATATAGGAGAGCAAAAGTGAAAGCGGATAGATACTGCAAGTGACAACCAGCTGGTCCATTTTCTTCTGCATCTTTGGTGATAGGGTCAAACTGAAAACCAGTAAAATGTTTTATAATTTTTTTTATTGAAGTTGTTTTGCTGATGTTTTTATTACATTATTTTTAAAGGATTGCCTGAGAGCTAAAATTAAGCATCAAATTCATGTCATCTTTCAGTAATGAATACTATTAAGTTTACTCTAAAGCTACTTGCTATTTAAATAGTGAGATAATTATTTAATGGAAAATAAATTGACCCACTGTATCTTCCAAGGCTGATAAAAGGAACCTGAACTTAGAGACAGGGCAGAAGACATTATGGGCAAAAGAGAACAATGACAAAGTTCAGAAGTAAAATATGGTTAACACATTGAACCAGTAAGAAATATGTAACTGTATTGAACAAGAAGAAATAATTGAAAATGCATGTCTTGGAATACATCCTGCCAGACCCTGAGGAGGACATCTGTGGAGCCATTCTACACTGGGTCAGGTGAGGACTGGGCCAGAATATTCAGGCTTCATAAAACAATGTTCAAAACAGACCCACGGTTCAAGTTGATAAGCAGCATAATCCATATGCTGGAAAAAGTGTTGACAAGTCACAAGAATCCTATTATAAATGAAAATGCAGGTGCTTCATAAGAATAGGAGATGGCTCTTGTGTTAGCAGGCCACTTGTTTTACAAGAGGGAAAAACTGATTTTACAAACTTGCTGGTTTCTTTTTGGCATGGACTTTAATTTGTTCAGTAAAACAGTGGAGACATTTTTTAAGGTCATATTATACTATGCATTCCTTGTATCTCATTTAACATGGTCGCCTGTGTCTATTCTGATCTCCAAGAAGCTTTTCAGTAACAACATCTCCATAGGAACTACCTCAGTCAGAACAATTACTTACTCTCTCCACAGCTTCTCCAAACGTCTTCATAAAGATTGCTTGGTAACTATGTTTAGGATTTTTATGGTAATAGTTTGAATTGTCTCTGTGGAGCTTCTCCTGCTGTCAATTTGAACTGCATGCATAGTACAAAACTGGAAGCCTATGCAAGATAACAGTATGTCTAAAAAGAGCACAAAAACAGACCAGTAAAGTCTAGTCAGTAGTGGCAAGTTATATCTGTCTGATTTCATAGGCAGTTGGTCTTGAAGAAGCAGCATGAAGAATTTAAGTACGTCATAATTGTTTAAACCCTCTATTTCAGCATGAAAACAAATTATAGCTGGTTAGGGAAGGCTAGCTGAGGTTAGTAATAAAAACATTTATTTTCCAAATAATTTAGAAAAATAGGGATATAGCCCATACACATTTTATAGAACCAAAAGAAGAAAGTCTCCACGGGCTGGACATATTCATGATGTAACATAGGGATACTTAGGAAGTTGCTTGTTTCTAGAAAAGCAAACACATCCAGACCTTACTCTGTTGGCATTTTTAAGCTTGCCCTGCCCAGCTCTATCTTGTTGAGTACAGAGATTTTTGCTATGGTGCTTTTCCCTCTAAGGCAGTAGAATTTATTTTTTTTTTTATACCTGTTAAACGTACTCTTCATTTAATACCTATTTTACAAGAATGGGCATACTCGCTAGTTCCTTATATGAAGAGCTATTTTGGAATGTGTGCCTTTTCTTCCCACTGTAGCTTTTTCTGTTGAGGGAGATACTAAATGAGAAATCAGAATGCCCCCTCTGGGGAGCTGGTGTGCAACTGTATTGGGACAGTTGTGCTTGTAGCTTTATATGGACAAATCCCTGGACACTTTCCTATCATTCCAGATTTTGTATTTTAACGCTGATAGAAGTTATAACAGAATGCTGAGAAATCAAATAAAAGCAAGGTTTACACTGAATTAAAAAAAAAAAAGTGTAATTATCAAATGAGAATTTTGCCCTCAGTTTTCAAGGGTACAAAAGACCCCTCGGTAGCTGAACTTAAATGATCTTCTAGACAATTGTCTTTTCCCCTATATCTATCACTTATGTGATTATTGCATTTCAGGAAATACTGTTAACTAAAATGTAACAGTATCAGATGGTCATGTAAGCTGATCAAATGCTTGACCTCTTTACCAGTATCAAGTTCAACAGTTTCATTTTAAAATTTTTGCACATTTTGTTTCTAGTTCTGGTATAAAACTTTTGAGTTTATTCTTTCAGTTTTGACTGAAAGTTATCTTTATTTGCTATTGGTTTCTATTAACTACACATTCTTTCAAAGCAAGGAATTGCTGGCCATATCAGTGTGTTTGTAGTGAGACTCTGTATTAAAACATTTTCAAAAAGAAACTATAATTAGCAGAACTGATTTTTTTATTCTAATTTTGTAAGTAACTCCAGGGTTATATTAAAAGTCCCACACACATCAATAACCCAGTTATAAAATCTTACTAACTGTATCGCATGTAAATATTTGCCTTGTATTCAGTGATTGGCTCCAAGAAACATTAAAGGTATATAAAATACCAAGTACTAATGATAGGCGATTTGCCATATAGCTTAAGCCCTGGGAGACAGACTGTCCAGTGGTGTACTCCAGAAAGAAAGCTCCCTGGCATTTAGTGGTCTCGAGAGAATAGTTGGCTTTTCTAGGGAACTCTGTGTATAACCTGATTGCTCTCAAATAAAGATCTCCATCAAAGAGATCCATGTAGGCATAGTGTGTGGCTAGCTATTTAACAATAGCAGAAACAGTCAAGCAGATGAAACTGACTGTACATGTAGTTTTGAATCACAGTGTCTGTCTGTATTCTGTGGCTCCATTTTTGCAAAGGAGAGGGGCTCTGCTGCCTTTTCCATGCTGAGTAAATGCCATATTTTGAGTTCCTGTGTTGTTGGAAAAGGTGCGTTGCACACGCCTGGGAGGTCTGACAGAAGTGGTCTAGGACTGGTGATTAGGGCTGGTCATGTAGTTGTAGGTACTGCGCCACATGTCCCTCCCCAGAAATTTAAGTAACCTGATGTACAACTGTTGGAGCATCATGGACCTGGAGGTGGCCTACTGCCAGAAATACTCCCAGAAATACTGGGAAAGAGGCAGCACCACAAGGAGCAGGCTGCAGGCCAGAGTAATTATTTCGTGGGCAGTTCGTTGCAGGTGTCATCAATCCACAAAGACTGTGAATCTTAAATGCATCTGAAGTGAATGCTGATGGTTGAAGCAGACTGATGTTACAGCATCTGGTTTTCCTTTCAAGAATATATTGTTTAAATAAAATAATGTCTGGTAGAACTCATAAAAATTATTACTCAATCGCAGATGCAGCTGGAAGTAGAAATCTGCTATGCTGGTGGAAAGGGCACTGAAAGGATTACTCATAATCTGAAGAAGAGCCTGAGAATTACCCATGGAAAGGAATTTTCCATTTCATATTTGTCAATGTAAACAGGAGAATGCAAGGTGTAGGTGCTGTCAGTAGCCGTAAGTGATCATAAAGGAAAAAATGGAAATGAGAGGTACATTTGTTATAAAGCTAGGAAGAAGTGAAGCAAAAATACATGTCAGAGCGAATGGAAGGAGACTGTCACAAGTAGAAGAGCAAGTACTGGATTTAGTAAGGGACTGGCAGCCCTGTGGGGAATAAGGATATCATAGTAGCAATGGGGTTGCCCTCTGTGTTGGGACTAATGATACAGTAAATTCTTGCTAAAAAAATGTGTCCTGAGATAACACAGAAGCAGAGATCTGGGGAATTCACTGTAATTTTAGTCCCAGGAAAAGGAAATCAAAGGTATGACAAAACAGTGAAGATCAGTATGCGTGTTAAACTGTCGTTATAAGGAGTCCATTGGGTTATTTTCACATTGGAGGCATCCATGGAGTTGTCTTGGTGATATGACATCCTGTCAGTAGTGTTAGCACAAAGAGCTTTAATTTAACTGAAACAGAGAGAAAAGGGGTAGTAATTTGTGTAGCCTCTGCTTCTGGAGGAAGGAACAGATCTGGTAACTGGTAATACAGTATTTGACAGATGAGTATGAGGAACAGAAGGGTAGACATGAAGTACCAGTGGCAGTGACACAGGCTGTCAGGTTAACAAGTAAACTTCGCGTTTAAGCTTTTTTCTTCTGACTTAAATTAGATTTTTGAAAACTGACAGAAGAAACCTGGACAACGAAATGGAAGACCTAAAGTACTGGTATGGACCCTGAGAATAGCCATAGTCTGAGAAACACAAGTACTATTCCTTAAACTGAGAATTTCTTTACTGGTGAAGGTACAAAGAGGCTTCAAAAAAGTTGTGAATGTGTACTGTGACGATGGCACAATTTTGTCCTCAGAGCATTCAGAAAGAGTTTTTCAGTTTCCAAAGTAGTAATTTATTTTCTACTGTTAAAAATGTCCTAAAGATAGCAAAGCACCTAAAAGCTGTCTGCCCCAGAAACAAAAGCTGAGCAAAAGGGGTTGCAGCTGTTTAGAAAATAACAGGACCAACTTAATCGGACTATTTCTTACCATAGACTGTAACAATATATTCAGGTACCTGCAAGTAAATATAAAATTATTGTCTAGCAAGCATTTGTTTTCAGAAAAGAAAAAAAAAAAAAAAAAAAAAAAAGTTGACTGGGCCCTACAAAAAATGCCTGATTTCCTATTTGTGAAAGACACTCCCATGAAAATCTCAAGGTTTCTCCTGTTACACTGTAATTTTCCGCATTTCCTAAATCCCCTGATTGGTTCTGTATCTTCTTCCACCAGTGGTTAACGCTTTTCTGCCTTGGTCTCTAAAGCTCTGTGTAACTGCAAGCCGTGTTCTGAGCTGATTCCTCCTTACACGCTGCTGCATGCCCTCCCTTTGCCCAAGGCATTCAGTGCATTTCTTTTACCCTTTCCTGTTTCTTAATTTCTGCAATGCCATACAGGTTTCCAGTCAGCTGTCTGCCAAGAACTTCCCTTTTTTTTCTTGCCACCCCCAGTTAGTTTTATAAGAGAGTTGATTGCACAGCCAATGAAGGCATGATATTAAAGACTGTGTTGCTTCTTTTCTGTGTGCCTAAAAACACATGACATGTCTTGGGCACTGCATAAAGCACAAGACACCAACTAAAACGCATCCTAGAAGGTTTTTAGTATTTATTCATGGTGCTTTCACCACTGTTTTTAACATATACGCTCATTATAGGTTGATTTGCTCATGCTAAAATTATAAGTTTAACAGTTAACTTTAAGCAGGCTGTGCTTAACCCACGACCTTCTTGTAAGCTCTTTGGAGTATGCACCCTATTCTGCTGCTGGCTTGTACTTGATATTACAACAAATACACCATGCCGTGCATAAATAATAGGCAATGGGCTTCGGGTGATGCACTTCA